CCATCCAACAAATATTTATGGTGGGCCCACTACCAAATGATATCAAGTGTTGAGAATCAAGAATGAAAGAAATATACTGTAGCATAATGGATGTGGGCAAGGTTAAAACCACAACCACAGATCCTGGTTTTAAAGCCAAAAGGAATAAAGGAAGGAGGAAAGTATTGGTTACAGAAAATTGAGGGACTTCATATTTTTATGACCTCTATTTTCTCAGCAAGCAAGGGAATATAAGAATGGGACATAAGGAAGATATTTCAGCTAAAGATTTGTAATAATAATTAAAGGGAATAGGAGGGAAATCTAATAAAACCAAAATGAAAAAGAACCATCAAAGAGCTCTGGGACACCTTGCTGGCTCAGTCAGTTGGGAGTCTGCCTTCAGCTCAGGTCATGATCCCAGGTTGAAGTCCCACATCAGGCTCTCTGCTCAGTGGGGAATCTGCTTCTTCCTCTGCCTCTGCCTCTCCCCCTGCTTGTGCATGCACGATCTCTCATTCTCAAAATAAATAAATAAAATCTTGTTTTAAAAAAAGCTGTGAATACTTACATGATTTTAAATGCTGTTAATTTGTAGAGGTTTTATTCTCTGCAATTATGTGATTTTTATTCACTAAACTTCAGCGCTCAGATACAGAATGACTTGCAGAACTCACAGATGGCTGGTGGCTTACAGGGCAAGGAAAGAGGTCACGTGTAGTGGTACGATCCTGAAAACAATCAGCTTGGGTTTGTCTATTTCCAACTCGTCTTTCCTTTGCCTGCCTCTAATAGTGAGATGGTAAAAGGTAAACACTTACTTCCCCAGCAACCCTGCAGCTAGGGGAAGCCATGCACCGATGAGACATAAGCATAAGTCTACAAATAATGCCCTTCTCTTTCTCTTTTCTAGTGTTTACAGCACAGTCATGATGCTTGGAGAAGCAGCAGCCACTTGGTGACCTTGAGGCTGCAAGTAGGTGGATAAAGTCACACAGTAAGGACGTCAGAGCAAAAAGGGAGAAAGAACATGCGTTCCTGACTGTGTTCAGTGCTGTTGTTACCAGCTCTGAACTGACTTGCCTCAGGTTTCTTGTTCTTGTGTTTTCTGGTGGTTTGCAACCAAATGTGTTCATACCTGAAACAGAGCTCCGCGCTATGTAAATATGTTAGTCACGATGCTTTTGGGTGTACAAAACAAAAATGTTAGGTAAATGTAGAAGCTTCTTTTGTATCCCATGTGTGGCATACAAAATAGACCCAGCTACAATGCAGTTTTTGACTTGACAGACCCTCTACCTCAATGATGTCTGTCTCAAAATGTCTCCAGATCATCTCTGTACTGCAAAATAAAGCCGAACTTGGGGTTGGGGGGGGGGGGTAATTATAAAGTAATTTAAGGGAAAATAAGTGGGAGAGGATTTACTGACTCATATGGGTGGAAACATCCAAGAGATAAAATTGGCTTCAGGTCCAGCAGGATCCATAGTTCAAATAGTATCACTAGAAAAATTATCTCTCTTTACCTCCCAGCTCTGCTTGCCTCTGCTTGGCTTTATTCATTCCCAAATTTCTCCAAGTTTCCAGCAGCTCTGTTTTTACATATTCTTTAGAGCTCATGACCCCATAGGCTGACCCTGACCCTTTCTCTTACAGTGTACATATCAACCCCCAACAAGGATTGCTTGGATGGCCTGGGTCAGGGGCCCACACCTGTGGTGGAGGGTTAAGCCACAAGACCCAACAGCCCTACCACTTCCACATGGAACGCAGGAAGAGTTCCGGGTGGTACCAACGTTCAGCATACAGAGAAACAATAGACCAATGCTGCTGGGAAAACAAATTGAGGCTAGGAAGGAGACAAATAAACTGGGAGAAATGAGTGGGTTATTGAACTGGAAATTTTTTTTTAAGATTTTATTTATTTACTTGACAGGCAGAAATCACAAGTAGGCAGAGAGGCAGGCAGAGAGAGGAAGGGAAACAGTCTCATCGCCGAGCAGAGAGCCCGACTCGGGGCCCGATCCCAGGACCCTGGGATCATGACCTGAGCCAAAGGCAGAGGCTTCAACCCACTGAGCCACCCAGGAGCTCCTGAACTGGAAATATTGATGAGGTTTATAATTTCTATTGAGAAATGATGCAAGACATGGAAGGATAAAAATTTGTGGTCAAGCAGTAGGATACAATAATTCAGTATTTCAGACAGGTGGAACATTCTAGATAATTGGCAAGGTCTAGTTTGTGCATGTAGATGAAGGTGGTAAAAATAAAGATCTGAGTCCAGAAGATTAAGGTACTAGGTCAAGATTATCAAGGATAGATTTATATCTTCAAGGCCTTAAACTAGTAAGATATTTATGATACCTGTGTTAATTACCTATGGCTATGTAACAAGTTACCCTTGGAAACCACCATTCTACTTTCTGTTTCCTTGATTTCAATGATCTCAGATACTTCTTGTAAGTGGAATCATACAATATTTATTCTCTTGTGACTGGTTTACTTTACTCAGCAAAATATCCTCAAAGCTCCTCCATGTGGTAGTATGTGACAGAATTTCCTTCCTTTCTGAGGCTGAATATCTACTGAGTTTTTAATTACAGCAATTATATGCCTTATTTCTGGAAACTAAATTTTGTAAAATCTTGTTTTTTGTTTTTATGTTTTTAATAATTTTAAGCATAAATATTTTACTTTCTAGAATATGATGCCAACCTATTATTTTAAGTGCTTGAGGGCTCAATTTTCCTTTTTTTAAATATGCTGCCTTTTTATTTATTTATTTATTTATTTATTTTTTTTTTTTTTTTTTTTTTTTGTCAGGGACAGAGGGAGAGAGCGAGCGAACACAGGCAGACAGAGAGGCAGGCAGAGGCAGAGAGAGAAGCAGGTTCCCTGCCGAGCAAGGAGCCCGATGTGGGACTCGATCCCAGGACACTGGGATCATGACCTGAGCCAAAGGCAGCCGCTTAACCAACTGAGCCACCCAGGCGTCCCATTAAATATGCTGCCTTTTTAAACACTCTTGCGTGCTTTGAATTCCCCATCAAGGGAAAAACGGGAAGTTGTTCGATGGGTATATTTTCAATTTTGCAAGATGAAAAAGTTCTGGAGATCTGTTACACAACAATATGAATATAGTTAACACTACTGAATTGTATACTTAAAAGTGGTGAAAAGGGTACATTTCATATTGTGTCTTTACCACATTTAAAAATTTTTTAATTAAAAAAAAAAACTCAATAAACACACCCACCAAGATAAAGTTGATATGGTTTTCTATTCTTCTCACTGAGAGCAATGTAAAACCCTAGACATTATATATAAAACGAACATAAGAAGATGTTGAAGGTGGAGAGAAGAAGACAAACAGGCCAGGGAACTCAGGACCCAAGGAAAGGCTCAGTGCTGAGTTTTCTAGGTTCTGTTTTTGCTTCATATATCCTAAACTTGGAGCTGAAGAAGTCAGCAGTCTAAAAATGCCAGTGGGTGTAGACAACTTATACCTGGAAACCACTAACACTGGGTAATTTTTAAAGGCATGAGACCAAATGTGGTCCCATGAAGAGTTAATACAGAGTGAACAGAGGAAATGTAAAGCAGATGGTTACCTCTGGAAGAGGAAGACATAATAAAGGAATCTGACGAGGAGTGGTCAGAGGAAGAGGGATGGAAACTGCTTATGTGCCAGGCATCAGGCTCATATTGTATACAAATTATCTCATTTAATACTCACAACTGCTCTATGGTTTAGACACTATTGTTATTTCCACTTTACAGATGAAGAAATTGAGGCTTCAAGCTACTTTGTCACCAGTGTGACCCCTGACCCTCAAAGTACCACCAAACACAAGTCTGTGTGTCTATTACTCCTTCACTTGTTGAAATTACTTTCTAGGCCCAAGGTGGGCCACCCTGCCTACAGTACCATGGCAGCAAGCTGAAACAGACAATGTTCACACCCCGTAAATGCTCTGCTTGACCAGAAACACGGTATGTCCAGTCAGCCAAGCCCCATCCCCCAGGCCACCCATGGGCTCTGTGTCTGTTTTCTTGTTCTTCATTCTTTGTCCTAGAAAAGTGTCCTGCCTCCTGCCCCATTTTGCAGTGCTCTGAATGGAAACGGTCTGCCTCATGAAGTGTTAGATAAAGTTTGTGTCACCTACATGGTCTTCTTTAATCCTTTTTAAAAACACTTAAAGATTTGAGGGAGGGGCGCCTGGGTGGCTCAGTCGGATAAGCGTCTGGCTTCCCCTAAGTTCATGATCTCATAATCCCAGGGTTCTGGGACTGAGCCTGCTGAGCAGGGAGCCTGCTTCTTCCTCTGTCTCTCCACCCCACCTCCCAGCTTGTGCAGTTGTGCACTGTCTGTCTGTCTCTCTCTCTCTCTGTCAAATAAATAAATAAATAAAATCTTAAAAAAAAAAAAAACAAAACTTGAAGGAAAGGGCCAGAGTGCATGACACAGAATAAAAAACAAATTAAAATGGAATCCTTCAAATCACTGCCTTTGAAGTCCCTGGGCCAGTCACATAGAGAGACGTTCCCACTGGTGACGTCCTCCATTGGTTCCAGCATGTGCCTTTCCTGCGGTCTCGCTCATCCTCTCTCCTCTCCTCTCAGAGTCCCAGGGCCCACAAGCCACAAGCTGCTCATACAGGTTCACACAAGTCAACTGTTAACATTTGAGGAATTTTGCTAACCTGTTGTTAAACGCAGCCATTATAAAAAACGGAATTGTATAAGCTTACATGTAAATACGCTAATTTTGTACTCAAAATATATCACTTCCTAATTATTTGACTACACGTGACATTCTATGCCCCTGAGATGATTTACATCTATTGCTCTCATAATATTAGTGCCGATCTCTATGCAAATGCCGCCACAGACTCCGGCAAGTGCTGCAAGTTAGGGTGTTGTGGGGTGGGGGGGGAGGTTGTTTGTTGTTTTTATTGGAGAGGAGGTTGTTAAACCTACCAGTGCTCCCCTCCCCTCCCCCACGGAAAAATTGAAACACACCTGTTATTCTACCTGAAAACCAATTTCAACCCCATGTCCCCGAAGTTCCTTTTTCTGAGCAGGCTCTGGAGCCAAGAGCTGAACAAGAAACACCTCCTGAGGAGCTCTTTGAAGACTTCCTAAGGTGAGTTTTGCCATCCATAAAATTTGCATCTGCTGCTGTGGGTTTTCTAAATAGTGCACTCACAAATCTGACTAACGCTGTTTCTTCAATAGCAGATCCAGAGCACAAGTGTTCAGTATCACAATGGCTTACGAGAAATCAGTGAGAGAAGATGGCAGAGAAGTGACTGGAAAAACTGAATCTCCCTCCCAGGAAGGAGTCAGGAGAGACTGTGTTGTTGTTGAGGGAAAAATCCTAAAAACAAAGCGAATGGAAACACGTTTTTCTGTGAGGGGGATAAGAAAGGGAGGGGAGCACCCCCTTGTATGGTTTATGAGTCATTTCCTGGTTTAATTCTTCCTGTTTGTCCTTGGTTTTTCCACAAGTACCCAGTGAGGCCCGACCTTCCACCCTCACCACCCCTCCAGCGTCATGATTACTGCAGTCCTGGTGTTTGGGCGAATGGCAGGGACTCTGGGGCACTTTGATGTTCAAAGCTGTTAAAATGACATCTAAATTTGCAAACTTTCCGGTGGCTATGAGCCTCTCTGATTGAATATGTAGATATGAGCTCTGAGGGAGCCTCTGCCCTAATGCCTTCTGTTTCTTTTTGTCTCCATCTCTTCTTTCTTTTTCTTCCTTTTTCTCTTTCTTTCTTTCTCCCTTTCATTCTTTCATCCTGCCTTCTCTCTGTCTTCCTCTTTCTTTCCTTCTCTCTCCCTCTCTCTTTCTGACCTGTTCCCCCCACAACCTCTTGTCACCCGCTCCCCCACCCCTTCCTCCCCCTCCTCCTTTCTTTCTTCTTCAGTGTTACTCTCAGTACTTCAAATGCATCTTGATTAGGGGGTACTATCACGAGGAGAGGAAAAAGGAGTCTGAGCATATGATTTTGAGGCTCATAACTGAACGACTTTTGGTCCACAGGAGGCATGAGAAAGAGACAGACATATAAGACAAAAGAGCAAAACAGTGTTCATTTGAAAGAGGAACCGTAAAAATGAAACTTATGGGCCTTGTTTACCTTTTTCTAAATAACATCAGAGTACTTACATCTGAGAATAATAATAGTTCTACTGTGTGGCGACTTCTGAAGTATTCGCTGTAGTAGCTGGAAAGAGCATGGACTTTGTTGTGGGGTCGTTCGGGGGGCAGGCCGGGCCCCCTTGCTGGCTGTGTGACCTGCGTGGGCTGCGAAGCCTGAGTCCCCAAGGCCCACACTTGGGCTCACCTCATAGGCACAGCCTACTGACTGTTAACCACCAACGTCCTGGTTGGTGGTTGACTCTGCTTACCCATTGCTGAATGTTTTTAGTCAATCCTGACTGAACAGTGTACATGAGGAACTGATCAAAGAGTGACTGGAACATAGTAGAGGATGTTCAGTAAATTTTAGTTCTGTCAATTCTTTCCCTACCCACCCACCCCCAAATATTGTCACCGACACAGTTCTATAAGGAAACAGTAAAAATATATCTATTTATATATTACTATTATGTTCCACAGCTTACGTAACAGAAAGCATAGACACAGAGGTGAGTGGGTTAAGAACACGACGATCAGTCAGAGCCACCAACACCTGATCAAAGCTCCTCATGCCCAATTCAGAGTGTTAATAGCAAGAATCGAGGTCGGTCTGGTCATCAGTTAACAGTTTTAAAGTGGAAAGAGTGTGAAGTTTGGAGTCAGAAAAATCTGGGTTCAGATTCTATCCTTGTCACTTACTGTCTGTATGACCTTGAAGAAGTCATATAACCTCACTAAACCTGTCTCCTCATCTGTAAAACGGAACTAACATATCTAAAGGTTTCAGTGGGATAGTGTATGTGTAAAAGGAGCTTAAAATGAGATTCTCTCTTTTTAAATTTGGGCTAAGCCTCCAAAAACCATAAATAAGTCAATAGACGCTAAGTTCTTCCCACATTACAGGGCTGGCCCACTTTTTCAGGAACCTACAAAGATGATGAGAAAAAGCTGGTTTTATGGCCCTTAACACTTCACTTCTAGCAGAAGTTGAGGCTGAAGAGAAAAGGACAGACTTTCTCTGCAAAAAGTTGTGGGAATGTTGCGTTCTACACAGCATGGGGCAGGGGATGTCCCCTCCCCTCAAGCCGGTTGGATAGACTCCAATAGAATCATAAGCGGCAGGTCATTCAGAGCGACATATGTCCTCGGGAGTAAGGGCTGTGAAGAGAGGCTGTGTGTGGACAGACGGGCCTAAGGCCACAGAGCAGAGGACGGGTGACCAACTGCAGATGGTGGGACAAATCCAGGAGTGTTTCCCCAGAACAACCATAGGCTTTCAGAGGTGGAGCTGACCTGGAGCCAATCTGAAAGCTCATTGCTCCACCGAAGTCCCCCAAGACCAACTTTGGGAAGCTCAGTCCTGAGAGTTGAAGTTAAAACCAGCCAATCTGATAAGAAGCATCACCCACATCTCGGGAATTATAGTTAAATATTCTCAGTAGGGGAATCTTTGAAGAATTTACAAAATGTCGCCACACAGTAGAACTATTATTATTCTCAGATGTAAGTACTCTGATGTTATTTAGAAAAAGGTAAACAAGGCCCATAAGTTTCATTTTTACGGCCAGTAATGTTAATCTGCCCCAATCCAGATCATAGAGATCTAAAAATGGGCTCAAACCTCCATCCTGCATCCTTTGTCGAGGCAATGCCCTCTTTCATTGCATTGTTCTCAAAGTCACTTTTGGCTCCAAATTCTTGTTTCTGCCAAATTCAGTTTATGGATCATTTGACCACCCATGTGTATTTCCCTATTCTTTGCTACCTTAAATCCAGGGAGGATTCAGATCACTCCCGAAATTTCTGCCACAAAGTCTCATTTACACAAAGCTGTCACATGGATACAACATTCCAATTGTACGAAAGGTTTTTGGGGGCACCTGGCTGGCTCAGCCATCAAACATGTGGCTCCTGATCTTGGAGTTGTGAGTTTGAGCCCCAAGTTGGGTATAGAGATTCCTCTAAAAAACGAAATCTAAAAAAGAAAGGTTCTTGGAAGAAAGGTTGGTTTACACCAGAACAACACAGAATCAGCTATTATTTTTATCTTTCCAGGAAGTATTTCTATCCTCATTCTTCTGGTACTAGACCCTTCCCTCACCCCAGGGAAAAATATCACATGACCTGTGTTAGTTGACCATAGGGCCCTATTTCACTGGCGCTGATGACGAGTGCAAGGGATGAACACAGAATCCAACCAAGGCTAGTTAGAACATGTCCCTGGAATTGTTACACCAGAACCCCTTTCCCTCCTCCCTCCACAAGCTCTCTCTTTATGGTTGCTGAGCTAGGTCTGACAGCAGCCATGTTTCCTGCCACATGGCCAAGTCCTGTCTGCTGCGGGAAAGAATGAAGTCAAAGAAAAGCAGAGCCAAACAGAGATGAGCAAGGCCAGACCAAAAGGAAAGTAGGGAAGAAGGGAAAGAGAAAGAGAGATCTAGCACTGCTAACCCAAGTTGCTAATTTTGGTGCCTGCAGCATTGGTGTCTGCAATTCTTCCTTAGTTGCTTAGTTCCCAGTATCTTACCAAACTTTGTGACCCACTAAGATCCTTTTCTTTCTTTCTTTTTTTTTTTTTTTTTTTAGATTCTTTGCATTGGATTTGTGTCACTTTCAAAGATAACAAGCCTGATTAATAGAGCAGAAAACTTCCAATTAAATGATGGGTATCTCTGGCTTTAAATGCCCTTTCCCTACTCTGCCTCTAGATATGTTCACCCATGCCCGTCTCTAGTTTTCTACTCTTACGGTGGTTCCACTCTCTTTCCTTTCTTTCTCTTGCTCTTCCCCTTCTGTCTTCTCTTTTCTGTTGCCTCCTAGAATGAAAAGTACATTCCTTCCCTTCTATATGTCAAACAGTTCAGCCACTTTTTTCATTATATTGGTCCTGAAATCCATGTCCTCAGATCACATCCCTTACCATAAATGGCTTATCAAGGTATTTTCCTAAATACAGGTCAGTACGCACACACACAAAGTTTTGGGCCATTTATTGTCTATTTGGGGAAAAAAATCCAATCTAGATATTCCCTAACAACTTTTTGGATAATTGGTGAGGTAAATTATTTCAATTTTCTCATCTGTAAAGTTACATTTTAGAATTAAGGAGGCTATATAGATGAACTACCGTAACCCCTTTTATAAGCTTAGAGAAGTCAAGTAGTTTGTCCAAGGCAAAAAGGAGTTAGTAGTATTATTGGGGCTCCTGATTTTTTGTTCAGGGCAAAAGGACAAGCCTTTATGACCTTGATTAATGCCATAATATAGGTAGGTTTAAGTTCGCAAACTCAATGTTCAGAAGAACCTCTGAGTTCAGTCCCTCAATCATAAATGACATAAAAAAAACCTATAGTTCTCACTTTTAAATCTTGAACCTTTTATTAAAATGAAATTCTATACTGACTGCAAATAAGAACCAAATATATATCGATAATAATAAATATATTAATTCAGATAGTTCAAGAAACAAGATGCCAAAGGTTTACTGGAGGAAATGCCTACGAAAGAAAAAAGAGAATAAGCTGGAGAAGTAGACTCTTCAGACCATGATGTGGATCTGACCCTTGGGAAAAAGAGAGGAAAAGAAGGACTGAAAGAGTAGAGTCTCAGACGGCTGTGCAGTTCTAAGAAAGTTTCATCTGGATTGATGTGTCCTCAAACCAGAGTCACCCATCAGAGGAACCTGTAACTTGCAGGAAAAGACCTACATTAGTATTCGTACCACATTCAATCAATGACTATAAGCAGCCCATGAAAAGGGAGGCTTTCGTGCGGATACAATGGTGGATTCAGAGCATGCTGCCAGAGTCATCAATCAATAGGTTTCCTGCAACAAAAGACATGAGTGGTGTACTTTCATGGCAACCTCAAAAAAAAATAAAATTAAACAGAAGATGCAAACTGGGTTCTTTTCTGTATCTTCTACTTCTCTCTTTATTGTGTTTATGTGGAAATAAATGGAAGATACAGAAAAGAACCAGATAGAAGCTATAGAGTTGAAAAATACAATACCTGATATGACAGTTCACTAGCTGAGCTAAACAGATGCAAAAGAAATGATAAACAAACTTGATGACATAGTAATAGAAACCATCCTAACAGAAGTAGAAGGAGGAAAAAACTCTTAAAAAAAAAAAAAGGGGTGGGGTTATGGACATTGGGGAGGGTATGTGCTATGGTGAGTGCTGTGAAGTGTGTAAACCTGGCGATTCACAGACCTGTACCCCTGGGAAAAAAAATATATGTTTATAAAAAATAAAATTTTTAAAAAAAAGAAAAAGAGAGAAAAGGAAGTACATCAGTAAAGGGTGGCACTGTTAAACAGTATAATGCAAATGTTGTCAGGTACCAGAGAAGGGGACAGCGGAGAAATATTTCAAGGAAAGTGACCAGAAGTATTCTAAATTTGATAAAACTATTAGCTTACAGACCCAGGAAGTTCAACAAACCACAGGCAAGATAAACATAAAAACTACTCAAGTAATATCATAACCAAATTGTTGAAAA